ACTTATTCCTTTCAGCAGCTGTTTTCAAATAAAAGCCTAACTCCATTGTATTCTCCTGGAAGTTACAACTCATTTCTGTTGGGTTTCTTCTCTGAGAAAGACCAGCAACAGTTAGAATAGCTGCCAAACACTCTGCTTCGTGACTTGAGTCTCTCCACCAAAGTGATCTGTGAAGTTATGGATGGTGTTTAGATCCTGTCTTTTAATCTTGGATGTTATCCTTGTAAATATCTCTGTTTTCAGATAAAAGGAAACGTAACAGTACTCCTGAAGTGCCTGTTTGCTTCCTACACTCACTGAAAATTTGTCTTTTAAGTATATGCCATTCTAATCCCTTACATGTAGGGATTACTCCATCATACTTGGAGTTTCACTGAAGCAGTGACTGAATTTGTTTTGGATATTGGCTTGTGGTTTGGGGGGTGGGATTTTTGATATATACCTTTCACTAAACAAAGCCACAAAATTAAAAAACCACTTAACAAACCACTTAACAAGCCCAAACATACATGGATTACTGCTGGGTCCAAAATACTGTAAGATACTGTAAATACTTCAAAAATTGGAAAAACATTTATACCTGCTAAATAAAATCAAGTAAAACCAACACGCGCTACTAACAGCTCATCTAGGACGGAGAATCTGCCATATATGAATTACAAGCTTTAAAATTGATGTTTTGTAGAATACCTCGTAATGTTGTGAAAGAACATTTTGTTGGGGGCTGCTTCATTGTTCCCCACAGCATAAACTGTAAATATTTGTGTCGTTTTCCCCCTACCTTCTGCTAGCATTTCCCTATCTGCGTTCCTTTGTATCTCCAAAGCATTATTGTTTGTTTGTACTCTTCTCAGAAAAGCCATCTGTTAAGCTAGGAAGTGCTGGAAATTCTCTCTAGGGATAGTTTGGAGAAGATATGACCACAAGGTCCCTGCTGTTGAAGGATTCTGAATGAAATTCTGTTTACCATTGTTTTCCCAGACACAGTCTGGGGTATTTTTGCTTCTTTTTAATGATATATTTGGATGCTTACAGTGGCAAATGAGAGTTATTTTTATAGGTCCCTGTTTTAAGGTGTAGTATGGGTTTGTCTTTCATAAATTTGATGATGTGTTTAGATGCCCAGGTACCCTCTGGCACAGGTATATTATACCTATGCATGATGCAAGCTGTGCAACTAAAGCATGTCATGGCCATTAATTTATATAAAAAGTCAATATAAAACAGCTTCTGGTATGAATATGTTTGAGGCTTGAGAAGGTTTAATTTGAGATTTATCTTAAAGACTGTAAAAATCCCCCAGGTTTCCAAATGCAAAATACTCTCCGTTTGTGGGAGGGAATGGGGCAAGATTAGATGTTGATGGCTTAGGTTTATTGGCTTCATACCAACCAGTGAAGTAAGCTCCTTTGCTTTATTTCCCCACAATTCCATTCTTTGGGTTTGTTTGCCTTGTATGTGTTTTGTATTTATATATATATGATTCTCTTATTTAAAAGCAATTTGATAGATCCTTATTTTTCTGTTTCTTGAAGTACCACAGAACCATTAATTATATTTCTCTGCAAAGTCACATTTGGAAATTATTGCTCCCATTATTCTTCAAGCCAAAGCGATAGGAAGGATTTCCTACTAACCACACAGGTAAGATTTTTGCAGCAATACTCTGGCCTGTGGGAATAGTTTTTATGTACTGCCCAGCACATGGTTCTTTTTTAATCTCCTGCATTAAAAGTACTGTGCAAAACTGAAAAACAAATTGAGCTTTATGTATGAAGAAAAGTGTTCGTTGTTATGGGAGTTTTGGTGGTTGAAACCATAGAATGCTGAAATAATTTGTGATTATCTTTAACCTCTCCTTGCTCTTCAGAGTGGTGTTCCCTTCTGTTCGCTCTGTTTCGTTTTCATAGTCTCATAAGCAAGACAACACATTCCCTCAAAAGATGCTCTTGATTTCAGCAACATCATGTGGATGCATTCTGGAGTAGAGGGAGAATGGAAAATGGAAAAAACTTGTTTTATTACCTAATTCTGCTGAATAGCCTTGTACACCACTTTTTGTGAGGAGTGACTGAAGAGATAGAAGAGACCAAGAAGATGCCCAGCTCCAGAGTGTGGGAAGGAGGGTAGCTCATGGCAGCTAGTCATGTTGACCTTTTTGGTAGTGTATTTATGGGCATTTGGAAAAAAGAAATATTCCATTAGAGCCTGACTTACAAAATTAATGGCTGCAAAATTCTCAGCTTGATTAAGGTAATAGAAATCCAAATGATAGTTTGAGTCTGCCAGTCATAGCTGACTTTGGCACCTTTGGCACCAAACTTTTTGTAGGACTCGTTTTTCTCCTGATTTTTATGAAAAGCTGTTGAGTGACTCTCTACAAGGACAATTTTGAGTCTACTTCAGCCTAACTCACTGCTATAACTCTATGTATCTCCAGAGATACTTAAGGTATAGGAGTACCTCTCACTCAGGGCCTTGAGAGACAGTCCTCCAAACTCTGATCTACTCTACAGTTTCCATTATAGTCTTGTGGGTGGTGAATTCCAGGTTTTAAGTCTGGAACTCACTGGAAAAAATGGTAGCATTCCCACTCTAGGGAAGGTTTTTCATATAAAAGCAAGAGTTGTTTACATGTTGTTTTCCAGATTGCCTCAGCGGGAATAAAAACTGTTAAAACACATTAGCTTTTCCCAGTTAAAAAATATATAGAGACTGAATCTTGCAAACTTTTGATCATGTCCAGTAAATTGATGAAGGCCTTAAGTTCCTTTCAGATTCTCTGGAAATATAAGACTCTTCCAAGGCTTGTCCAAATTGCTTGGAAATGTTTGTTCTGGCTGAAACAAGCAAGGATAGTAGCATTTCTGAATGCATTGTATGAGAAACCTCCCTGAAGTTGGGCGTAATTTCAGTCTGCTTTAGGTTTCTGATCTATAGTGCCATACATGATCTTAACTGATTTTGAATTAGTTTTTCGGTGGCTCGTCAGACTAGAGCAGCTGGGATACCCCAGCCCTTAAGCTGACTTTCTGATCAACTTTTTAGATGTCTTTGCAGAAAGTTACAGTCTTCTCTGCAACTGCTGCAAAGTCATTAGAAAGGCAAAATTGTCCAAGTTTTGACCTGTCTGATGTAATTCCAGCAGAACTGAGATTAAGTCAGACCCAGAGAGTTTCGCAGTGCAGAAATATCCTTGAAGCTTACTGCCAAAACTGGTCAAAGAGATTTCCTGTGTCAACCTGAAATCCACATCAAAAGACTAAAGCTAACTAGCCTCCAGCATCAGTGAGCGTTCGGGTTTGATGTGACTTGGAATAGAAGTGCTGCCTAGCTGAAGGGTTTTTTTCCTCAAGAGGGTGTTCTTAGGGACAGAAAGGCTTATTCCCGACCAAAGGGCAAGGCAGCGTTCATTTGGACTGAACAGTCTCACCTGAGTTGTACCATGTGAATGTATCATATCCAACAGAGGCAATGTGTCAGAAATTGAAGGTGGGGAGGGAAGAATGAAAGAGGTGAGACACTAGAAACTGATAAAAGTGAAGTTACCATGGATTGTTAGGCTAAAAAGAGGTGAGGATTGAATTTTATTTTGTTTTATTCAGTGTAGCAAAAACGTTTGAGACACAAAACATTTCATTAGTGTGTGGCAGGACAATGCAATTATAAAGAGCGTGAAATCTTGCCTGTATCTCTTTTGGAACTACTGAATGAAGACGCTGCGCATATCTTTGGGATATATAGAGGAACTTTCACTGCCTTCTGAGGGCTACTAATGTTGCTGTTTCAAAATCAGCAGAACTGGCATTTGCTACTATTACAACTTAAAGCTCTTGGGCCACACGGCGCATCGGGAACGATCCCTGTTTATTGTGAGATTTGCTTGGAAAACTAGAGAGGGAGCTCAGTTATTCAGAGCCAACCGAGTGTTACTGGGAGAAGAGTGTTGGTCGGGTCCTGGCCCGAGCTGATCAGACCAAAGACCCATTTGCAGAGTTTTAAAGTCAGTCCTTTGTCTTTAAATCCTCAAGTCTCATTATCATAATTACTTCGCACTGCATTTGTCCATGAAATGTTTCCAGGGCCTGTGCTTCTCTCCAGTTTAATGTTAAATAAGGTTATCTAATCTCTCCCTCTCATTTGTCGTCTAGGGACGTCAGCATATCTGGGCTCTCCCTGTCGCTAAATTGTACGACAGCGCGTACCATTTCCGTGTAGCTGCACCGGTAAGCCTTTTCAAATGGCAGCACAGCAAAAGACAAATAGCATTTGAAATGAGAGAAGATCCTATATGAATCTCCTTTATTTTCCTTCTGCAGGGTGTTGCAAGCTGCTCAACAGATCCTTACTTCGCCGGAATGTTTTTTACTGATTACCACTTCTATTTTTATCGACAGTGTAACTAGAATGTTGCTGATCATTCTGTTCTTTGGGGAAAAGACGATATGAAAGAGAGACTTGTGAATGGCCCTGGATATTTTTTTTTAAATCTTTCACTGACTTTTATGTCACTTTCTTGTTGTTTCACTTTAAATAAAAAAAAAAAAAGGAGAAAAATGAAGTGTTTGACAACAACTGTAGCTCTGTGTTTCATGGAACTGTTTCTAAAAGGATGTGAGGCAATGGAGTATATGATGTATAAATAAATAATCCTGTTGGTCATAGTGAAGTTCTATGATATTGTGCATACAGCAGACAAGAACAAATGGGTAGGAGCTCTGCTGAGTGCAGATACACTCCAGCCCTCAGAAGATGGTAAGAAAATAAAATACTATTTGCAGTCAGGAGACCTGCTTCTGTCCTGCAGACAGATAGCTTCTTTTAGGAAATACATTTTTAAAGTAAAGCTATTTGAATGAAATTTTACATTAGTTGCTTGGACAGAAGGAAAACAGATGTAATAACCAAGTGCAGTATAAATAGTGTTGTGGGGTGTATTTAGAACAATGATTTGTTTTGTGTAGAGAAGGGGAAGTAGATATAATGGATAGACTGTAGGCTTTTAAAGGTTTATAATGTAAAAGTTACATTTGAACAACTTTACTCTGAATTTAATTCTGTACTTAGCAGCGAAAGGGAAACATTAGGAAGAAAAACTGGTCTCTAAAAAAGAGCTAACCACAGTCTTTGAAAACACCAATGTGTCTTAATTGTGTATTTAGTGCCTGAGAATGCAATGGGAGAGTTTAATTTGATTCTGTGCCTTCACTGGGCATTTCTTTTGTCACTGTTTTGGGATTTCCTTTAAGGATGACCTGTTCACTGATTTTTTAGATGTGTGTGCTTCAGATTGGGTTAACAGCAATATCCATGTAATTTTTTTTGCCTTAAATTACTCACTACTTTAACCTTAAATGTATAAGCGTTTGGGTTTGTTTGTGGGTTTTTTTGTTGTTGTTTGTGGGTTGTTTTTTTTGTTTATTTGGTTGTTGGTTGGTTTTTTTTTTTCTGGGAAGTAATTATGGCATAGACCACATGTTCTGTATTAGCCCAGAGACCAACTGGCCTTGGAACTCTGGATCCAAAAGCAACAGAAATTTGTGCATTTGGTTTTTTATGGTCCATACCTGAGGGTGATTCCTAAGATGTGTCACCCAGTCACAGATGATAATGTGTGTGCATTTTGAACAAAATTCTTACCTTTCTAGACCCACCTGGTTTTCATCACACTCTTCTGGGTTAAAATACTCTTCTCAGTGGTGCAGAGCACTGTGGTAGGAGAATATAAGCTCCTGTTTCTTGTCATCAAAAAATTGTACTGTGATTAGAGTCTGGGGTAAGATGCAAGTGGGATAGCAACTATTTTCTTTGTGAAAAAGCTTGTGGTGATTTTATTGCACATTACTTTGCCCATTCAAGAGTTTTCAACTAGCTCTTTACTCCTATTATGTTTTTAGCATGGTACATTTGAAGATTTTATTTAGATTTAAGATGACAAATTGCTGTACAAAGGCCATGTTCTAACACATTTGAGGTAACAACAATCCACCTTCACAAAAGTTGGGGAGGACCTGGCAGAAGTGAAATCCTTGGCACTGAAAAAGCTGTGATAAATAGCCTTCAGGCTCCTGCTGTGTATGACAGTGAGCTGAAAGACTTTTTAAAATGGGATGACCTCCTAACAGTGTTGTTTTGATCATTTTAAATGGGAATCAGACAACTTCTGTGCCTTCATGAGACTAATTATATTTAGGTTACCACTGAATGAGTTAGCGGATCTTGGGGCCAGGAGAAAATACTAGTAACATAGCAGAACCCTGAGCATCCCTGAGCATGCCCTGTTTCTCCATCCAGAAGTTTAGTTTAAAAAGAAAAAAAAATTACTATTTGCCTGGGATTTCACACACACCAGGTTCAAAACTGCAAGAGCAGATACCTGATGTAATGGTTCAGCCTATATTTGCATTACGGCTCCTTTGAGTGAGAGTTGACCAGGTGCTTGGTCACCTGGAAATCCCAGAAAATGTTTCAAATCTTCTTCCCTCTGGACAATTTCAGAATACGTTGAATTGCCAGGCATATGCTGGCTGTACAGTGTGTCTACAGTAGGTTCAGCAAGCCCAAGGAGTATCAGCCTGTGCTGATTTTGGCTGGGATAGAGTTAATTGTATTCATAGTAGCCAGTATGAGACTGTGTTTCGGATTTGAGCTGAAAACAGTGTTGATAACACAGAGATGTTACAGTTGTTGCTGAGCAGCGCTTACACAGTGTCAAGGCCTTTTCTGCTTCTCACACCACCCTGCCAGCGAGCAGGCTGAGGGTGAAGAAGTTGTGAGGGAACACAGCTGGGACAGCTGACCCCAACTGACCAGAAGGATGTCCCAGACCATAGGCTCGGTGTATAAAGCTGAGTGAAGAAGGAGGAGGGAGGGAGGACATTTGGAGTGACGGTGTTCATCTTTCCAAGTCACTGTTCACGTGCCTTGCTTTCCCAGAGGTGGCTGAACACCTGCCTGCCCATGGGAGGTGGTGAATGAATTCCGAGTTTCACTTTGCTTGCGTGCACAGCTTTTGCGTTACCCGTTAAACTGTCTTTATCTTAACCCACAAGTTTTCTCACTTCTGATTCTCTCCCCCATCCCACTGAGGTAAGAGGAGTGAGTGGCTGGGTGGTGTTTACCTGCCTACAGAGGTTAAACACAGCACTGCCAAGACGTGCAGTGCGTAAGCTACATGACCAGATTTTAGACTATTTTGGTGTGGCAATACAGAATTTCTGGAAATTATTCTCACTTCTATATCTGCTGAGCCTCCACTTTCCCATATGTGAGAAGGGGGAACTCATCTTGACACCACTGGATTGGTGACATTCTCTGTCACGCGATCCTTCTTCCTTGTACAACACTGAACTCAGACTGCCATAGAATAACACCGTGGGGAAAACATGGCCAGCAGCATTGCCCACCCGGAACAACTAAAAGAAGTATGGATTGACTTTCCGAGATGAAAAACATGGTTCTAAAAAGCTGAAGCATTTCAGCTTTTCTTTTTTGCCATTTCTGTGTTCTCAGTGATAAAGATACAATGATTTTTCACAGTGGTCATTATAATGTAATTTCAAACAAATTTTGTGATACTGAATAATAAATTATTGATTTATGTACATTCTACCTGGAACCAGAAATTCCTTTTCCCTTACCTATTTCCCTTAACCTATACCGGTCACACTGAAAGAGTTGCTGTGAACATCTTCATGTCCAATGGAGAGCAGTGATGAGCAGTGTTCCTCAGGGGTCAGGACTGGGACCGGTGCCATTTAACATCTTTGTCTGTGATATGGATGGTAGGTTTGAGTGCACCTTCAGCAAGTTTGCTGATGACACGAAACTCTGTGATGTGGTCAGCACCCAGGAGGGTAGGGATGCTGTCCAGAGGGACCTTGACAGGCTGGAGAGGTGGGCCCATGCCAACATCATGAAGTTCAACAAGGCCAAGTGCAAGGTCCTTCACCTGGGTCGGGGCAATGCCAAGCACAAATACAGGCCGGGCAATGGGTGGGTTGAGAGCAGCCCCGCAGAGAAGGGCTTATGGTTGTTGTTTGATGACAAGTACAGCATGACCCAGCAAGGTGCATTTGCAACCCAGAAAGCCAACTGTATCCTAGGCTGTTACACCAAAAGAAATGTAACCAGCAGGTCAAGGGAGGTGATTCTCCCCTTCTACTTTGCCCTTGTGAGACCCCACCTGGAGTACCGTGTTCAGCTGTGGGACCCCCAGCATAAAAAGGACTTTATAAAAAGGCACTTTGTTTAGGCCTAGTGTGTCTTGTCCAGGCCCAGTGTAGGCTGAAAAATGAAAAAATCATGCACTCATGGCACTTCAGGCACTCATGTCCTCATAAATATAGGCTCCTCTTCCCTCTCTAGCTTCCCCAAATAACCTGTTTTCTTTCAAAATAGCAGATAAGCGAACATTTTCAGCGCAAGCCCTATATTCAAAATAACAGGTTTCATGCTGGCAATCGTGACCCAATTTTAACCCTGGTTGCTATGGTGCTCTGCAGGCTGAGCGGTCGGTGGGGCAGGATGATGCAGTGGTGGCACACAAGCCTTTTGTTGCTCCTTGGCCTAAGTCCAGCCAGCTTGTTTCCCCGTCTTCCTCCACCCTGCAGCAGCTCGTGGCAGCCTACATCTGCCGGCCAGGAGCAGCAGAGCCTCTGCCGCCTCGCCGGGTCGGCTCTTCTGGAGAAGCCACCTTCTCCCAGGCACCCAGAGCTGTTCCTCTGCAGACACAATTTGACTGCATGTCCTTCTATTGGAAAAGTCCTCATCTTCCCACTTCCAAGTTTTGAAACAGCCTCCCTCTCCTCTTTCCTCACAGGTTGCTTTCCAGCCGTCCTGTGTCCCGCTTTACTCCCTCCAAAAAAAGGAACTTGTTACGATACTTTTAAAGCGTGACATTTAAAATAGGGCATCTTCTTAGTAAAGGGTAGAAAGGAGCCTGACTTTTACGAACGGATTTAAAACAAAACATTATTTTTAAGGCAGATGTTTTAATTTCTAGTTGATGTTAAATATATCACAACTGCCTATGTGCAGTAATATAAGGATAGGATTTGCAAATTTGAGTTTAATGTTAATTTATCTGGTAGAGATACTCTGCGGGGTAATCAGTGCTTTGCGTTTTTCTTCAATCTTAATGTTACACTTTCTCTTCCACAACATAATCTAAACCACAGACCAGCTGGCTGTGTTGATTAAAATCCTCTTTCTGCTTTTTATTAATCTTCATGGTTTTGCCCTGGAATTATGAAGTGGTCATGGTCTATCAAGAAGGAAATCTGCTGGGCCAGAATGCAGCCTTTACAAATCGAGATTTCTGCCTAAAGCATATTGCTGATTCCGAAAATAAGTTGTGTCCTGAATGCTTTGTTATATCCACAGAGCCTTACATGAGTTTTGGAAC